TAACATTCATACATGGATTATATCATACTTTTTGGATGCAATAGGGTCCAATGTACAAAGAAATGAAAAAAAAATATTTTTACCATTTTTCATGATTTTTACCTATTTTCAGTGGCAAATCCCCTTAACTTAACCAATCAATAGTTTTATTAATACTTATGAAGTCAAACGGGGATGAAGCCCGTGGGTAACAGCTAGCTTCTATCTAATGGTTGTTTGGGTTGAAAGCGAAATCTGTATAAATTAGAGCGTACTATACTGCTTTATTTAATGTTTCTGCCTATTCTTTTCAGAATTTTCTTATCACTTACCATTAATTTACTGTATTTATTTACTCGTTTAGTATATCAACAATTTGTATGGTAGTGAAATCAAGATGTGTTTTTTTATACTTAAGTATTGAATTTTTTGCAGGCGTCTGAAAGTAAAGTTGAGAATTTCGTTGAACAAATCACAGATAAACTTATTGAGAATGAAACACGTTTTGAAAAAACGCTAAGGGAACAGAATAACGTGGCTCAAACTAAACTGCAGAATATGAATGAAAAACCTGAGCTTTCTCAAGTGGTTCAGGCGTTGGAGGAGAATTTAAAATCGATCAGCTATAAACAATATGTTCCTCAAGGTTTGTATCCCTATTTCATGTACACATTTCTGTAATAATTTTCTGTTCAAGCATTATTATTTTATTTCCTTCTATGAAGTTATGTTACAAAAGTCATCAAAGAATAGAAATCGCTCGTCGTTTTGTTCCAGTTCTGCTTCGTGTAACTACTTTTTTAAATTGAATAGAATGAATTGTTATCTTTACTTACTTCGCACTATAACCTTTCTTCAAATATTACTATATGTGTTTAATAATTGAATATTTGACAAATTTGTTTAATTTGTCCGTACTGATAGAATCATTTATCATTTTCTTCAGCTTCACATTTTGGGATGATATACTTCCCTAATATACATCCATCTCCATCAGAAGATGTTTTAAGAATTTTATTGTTGTGGAGAAACACTGATTCGTTACCACTGGTCACTGTTGACACAGGAACCTGAATTTTGTTGAAACTGCATGTATTTACTGTAATGCCGAGATGAATAAATAAATATTCTGTTACATTTTGATACGATACCATAAGATCTTATCTAATGATGTAAGTTAAATGAACATTAGTACTTTGTTGAGTAAAATCATTTTTGGTTGACCACTTAAATGTGGAACCTCGTTAACAAGACCTTGATAACCAAGTCATATTTGGTAATCCCCATGATAGGCTTGTAATCAAGTTTCTACTGTGAATGCTTGACGAAATACACAACAGGAATGTTTTCAAACACAGTTTTTCACATGTGTTTCAGGATCGACTCCTCAGAGGATCAGCAAGGACCAACTCCAGTATCCGAGGAAGTTTGTCGCCACTGCACCGAGGATGGAGTTGGTGAGGAAACTGAGAGAGAAGTACCCAGAAGCTGAATCTGTACCCAATGAAAACCTGAACTTTAAGGAGTATTTGCCTGCAGACCCGTTTTTCAATGGAGACATTCCAGTTACAACTGTAAGTTATCACACTGTATTTTTTTAATTTTTTTATAGTAGGAACAGGCTTACCCGCACTGTTGGTTAGTCTTTTGAGGTACTGTGACTCACAAATATACTCTCAAATTTCAGACTTTTCTTGGTCAGTGACCACAGACCACTTTGTCAATCACAGAGAAAGATTGTCTTCAATTACAAACTCCATCGTAATCTTCCTTGTGTCGTCTTAATTTGTAGTGCAAACTAACCGTTTCGATTGATTTTCTCTAGGAAAAATCCACTGGCAGTATTGGATCTACTGGAGACAGACGCACCGATTCCTCCACCCACTCCACGCCGAGGGCTGGCTCAGGACTGGGCCGCAGGTCTACCTCCATGCCAGACTTGAATGTAACAGACGATGTAAGTACATAGTTTAAAAACTGCTTAAACAAATATGCTGTACGTATGAAAATTCTTCATTCATAAATAAATACATTTTTTTAAGTAGTGGCTGTTTAAATAAGGCCTTCAGACATTCAGCGGCATATGACTAGATAGTTTATGGTCCTAATGCAAATGATAGAAGGTAAAGTGCAGTAATGGGTTAAAGAGTGGAATATTTCCATCAAATGTCAAGGGATTGTGTTTTTTTGGGTACCCAGACATCTCACAGAAGACCACAAAGAAAAAGGTTTTCACAGCAGTTTCTACACTCCCTAACCCATTTTGGTGCTTTTCACTCACTAATTGCACCGGCGGTGAATTTTGGCATAGGAAATGTCTCTTGTGCTGATCTACAGAAGGCTGTGACTTTAAGTAGGTCAGTGTACTCGATTCAGGGGGTTAGTTTTGTGTGTAGTGGTGGCGGAAAGGGCCTGGTTTGGGGGGGGGGGGTTGAAGTGGATCCAGGTACGACAATTTTAAGGGTTTTCGATATTGGGACATCAAGTACAGGTATAAGAGAGGCCAGATAATGCTAACAGTTGTTACCGATTTCTGTGACATTGGGTCGCTGACATTTGAGTCGTGGTAGTCAGTCGGTAGTGCAGTACATCTCTGAGCACCTTTAATTCGTTTAGTGTTAAAAATGCATTATAAAACAACGAAACAATGACCAAACAAACAAACTTCATCAACAAAAACGATATTTTACAACCTTCAATAAACGCCATACTAAAAAACAACGAAAAAGTCGGGTTTTGTAAGCAAGTGATGAGTTTGTTTTCTGAGTTATACCCAAAGTAGTTGTGTGTAAGCCTGTCTGTGTAATCTGTCACAACTAACATGTTATTTGTGTTTACAGAATAAAGAAAACATGAGAACTAGGAGTGCAAGGAGACCAACCAAATCCAAAATACCGGACCTTGTCATTCCAAAAAAGAAGAATATCCTGGGACCTGCACAAAATTTTGCCTGAAAAATCTGTACAAAACCTTATATAATAATAGTTAATAGATATTAAGTTTGAAAAAATATTATTATAAAAAAAAAATGTATAAATGTAGTTTTATCTCTTGCTTGTGAAATGTGGTTAATGTAGCATATTTGTATATTTATTACTCTACACTTTTTTAATGCTCTCTGATGTTTTGTAAATACTGTGATTTTACTTTTTTATCCTAATAAACATTCATTATTTTATTTATTTGTGTTTCTACTCTTTTTTACCTTTTTGTGTAAGGGGCCTGATTTGAAGGCAAGCACTATATAGCCACTCGATTACTCAGACAGCTTATTTTTTATTCTTTCCCATTTCATAATTTATTACTCTGCTTCCAAAGGATTATAAGTGTTGTTAACACTTGCGATTAAAGAAAGTTTAGAAGTTAACCTAAATGTACCATCTCAGTGATATATGTGTAGCAAAGATGGATACATAATACTCTAAATGTAAAAATTACCTACTTCTATTTAACAAGGTTAACTGAACGTTTTACTACACCAAATTAAACTTCAAGTGATTTGCAATATTACTAAGTGCATTTTGTATCTTGTTTTTGAATTTACCAGTTCATAGGTTACTTTATAGTTAGGTTGAAATTAAACTACCACTCTACTGGGTAAAAAGAGTTCATAAAAGGGCAAAACCATCATAAAAATCTAATCAAGGCACTCCATGCACTCAGCATAGCAACACTGGTGGTCCGAACCCCCCTTCCGGTCTTAAATATAATATTTTTTTGTTAAATTAAATGTAAAATTATATAATCATACTGTATTGACGTTGGGGTTGATTATTTCAATGCCAAGAGGGCTATAATATAGAGGGCTATAAATAATCAATTAGAGTCCATACAATTCACTATTGAACTTGAAAAAGACAATAGGTTACCATTTTTAGACGTACTAGTTGAAAAATTAGATCAAGGCTGGCTTACTAGCGTCTACCGAAAACCCACTGCTACAGGACAAAATCTAAACTTTGCTTCTAATCACTTCTAATCTGGAGTTATTTACTTTGTTTAGGGCCTTATTAAAAATAGATTGGGGATAGCCACAGTTGTTTAAATGTTGTTTTATACTGTCTAGTTCTGTTTTAAGTATGCTGTCGTTGCTGCAAATAGATTTAGCCCGTTTGATAAGACCGATAACCAAGCCTGTTTTGACATGAGTTGGGTGATTAGAAGCAAAGTTTAGATATTGTCCTGTAGCAGTGGGTTTTCGGTAGACGCTAGTAAGCCAGCCTTGATCCAATTTTTCAACTAGTACGTCTAAAAATGGTAACCTATTGTCTTTTTCAAGTTCAATAGTGAATTGTATGGAGTCTAATTGATTATTTAGGTGGTCTTTAAATTTCATAAGCTCTTCCATTGAATCCTCCCACATACAAAACACATCATCTACATAGCGCAGCCAGATTCTTGGTTTGGTTTGAAATGATCTAATTGCATCCTGCTCAAATTTATCCATAAAAATATTGCTTAAGATGGGGCTTAGAACCCCGCCCATCGCCATACCCTGGGTTTGCTCAAAAAAATCATTTTCAACTTGAAAGTAGTTTGACTTAGTACAGACTGTTAGTAGTTCCATAATGTTGGATATGGGGATCTTAGTTTTATCTTCTAGATTGACGTCGTTTTCAAGCTTTTCCCTCACAATTGTCAAACAAGGGTCGATCGGAACGTTAGGGAATTAGTTCGTCACATCAAAGCTGACGAGCATAGTGCTATTGCTGGGTTTGTGTGGGTTTATTTTGTCAATAAAATCTTTTGAGTCTCTTATAAAACTATCAGATTGACCAAAGTAAGGTGTCAGCAATGGTAAGAGGAACCTAGATAGTTGGTAGTACGGTGAGTCAATTGCACTTACTATCGGACGCAAAGGGATGCCTGGTTTATGCAATTTAGGAATTCGTAGCCGTCTCACCAAACTAAAACCTGAAAATGAACAGCAAAACACAAAAAATCTAATATATAAAATTCTCGTGTCACAGTGTTTGTCTGCAAACTCCTCCGGAACGACTTCACCGATCGTTATGAAATTTGGTGTGTAAATTCTGTAGGTATGCGAATAGGAAGTAAACTATTTCCCGTTTCGAAATTCTTAAAAGGGCTTCGCCCCAGTGGCTCTGGAGTTTCCCATGTTAACCTTATCAGAAATGGAATTAATGAATCTTAACAGCTGTTTCAATTAAACAAGTTGGTTCTGTTCTATGATGTTCAATAGCAATAAAGTTACAAGGATTACCAACAGGGTGCAGCACTATTATTTCTTTTACATTTATGACAACAGCTAATTTGCAACCAAAAGGTGAGTGAGCGTAGCGAACGAACTTCAACCTGGAGGCGAGTGAGCGTAGCGAACGAGCTAACCTGAAGGCAAGTGAGCGCAGCGAACGAGCTCCAACCTAAAGGTGAGTGAGCGTAGCGAACAAGCTCCAACCCAAAGGTGAGTGAGCGTAGCGAACGAACTTCAACCAGGACGTGATTGAGCGATGCGAACGAGATCATCTTGAAAATTAAACGTAACGGTACTTTCTTTCCATCGGTCTGTCTTAGGGGAAACCTATAACTTAGGCGATACGAAGTTCTATAAAATATTATCTATAAAATTCCTTGTTCGTGTGGTAGAAACTACGTAGGGCAAACGTCAAGGCCAGTGACGGTGAGGATTAACGAACACGTTAAAAAGGTTAAAAATAAGGATAGGTATGGCTCGAGAATCTGTGAACATGTATTAGAGACAAATCATACAGTAAAATGGGATTCCAGCAAAATTCTATACAAAGAACCGGATTGGAGGAAACGGAACATGGCAGAGTCGCTATTTATGGCTATTGAAGATGAGCCTCTATCACGACCATCAGTGGATGTTAGTACTGTTTATTTACCATCTGCATAGGACCGATAACCTTTCTTTTGGTACAACCCTCGTGTAATTCCGTCCAGTAGTAGGCTAGCTGTCATAATATTTGCAAAAGTTTTTTTATATACAAGTTTAGGCTGGAAGGTTTTAAAAATTACTTGGGATACTTATATGAAGTTAATTAATAATACCTCTGGATAGGGTTGGTATATGATGTATGCCCCTGGCAGATTAAAATTCTGCCCTCTTTCAAAATATCTGACCCCTTTCAAATTTTGAATTTACACCCCTTACTCTTTCCTTTGAATACCACAAAAAATAAACCAACAAGAACAATTTTCTTAACATTTATATTCTACAAGACTACAATAACACATTAAGATTTACTGACTTTACAAACTTTACTTTTTCCTAGCACCGTCATGTAGCATAAAATGTTAACAGAATGATACGAAGAGAAAAGAAACTTATAACTACATGGTGTACATGATTGTTGACTCTGCATTACTACTCCGTTCACAATAATTAAGGGGTTTGAGGGGAAGTTCCCCCACTACTTTTTTGTATTTAATGTACAGTATGTTACTTAATCAGCTGTTAAGCTATTATTTCAAAGGTAAGGATCAAGTAGAGGGGATTCTTCCCCAAAAACTGCCTAAATATTGTGAACGAATAACAAAAATAACTACATTACACAGAACAGAAAAACAGCAAAAACAGAAAAACGTATATATGCCCCAAATCTAGATAGGAATTGAATTACACTCCACAAGGACCAGTAGACTTACCAGTAAATCGCTAAGAAATTGTGAGGAATAAATATCCCCCGCCGCAGCAAACCTACAGACTAGGAACATTTTTATTTGCCTGATTGGTGTTTGACAAAAAATTGTCCCATTTACCTTTGTTGTTGTTGCCTGACCTCTTGCAGGTAAGATGTTTGTGTCGCCCTATGGATTTCTCCACCTTGTGCGGCGTCTTCAGGGGTCTTCTTGAATTTATCTCCCTATTACTAACCTATTGTCTAAATTTACAAAAATATTGATACATAAACGGTCACTAGTACAATAGCGGTAGGGGTCGATCGGACAACACGTCGATGAATAAGTGGCGTAGTCATCATGGCAGTAGGTCTTTCTTCCTCCGTTTCAATTCTTAGACTGGGATTGTCAGCATTAGACCATTCGAGGTTTGACACGATAACCAGCCAAATGAAAAAGGATACAACCAGACGTACATGACCCAACCAAAAGATACGTACGTATCCACCAACTATATAGACAAATCAACCTAAAAATTCCAAAGAGTTGGACACCCACCTACCTATAAAGTAAAAACCAACCTCATTCCAAATTACAAAATTCCTTATATAAAAGACAGGCTAGTTAAAGATGGGAGAGTCACAAAAATATTTCCTATAACCACCATCTAACAACCAATACCACAGGTTACACCAACAGAACAGGTCAACTATTTAAAGAGCATGACACAAGTCATCATAACAACTCTACGATTCCCGACTCCCTCACAATTCAGAATAAAACCGACTCAAAATCCCATGGCAAAAGTAAAAGAAAGCTACAAAATATAAATGGATCGAACACCCTCCTAAACAAAAAAGAAGACTACACCAGTCCTACAATTTTCAAATTAATATACAAAAGCGACATTGAAACAAACAAAACTGGAAACATAGCACCAAACCATCAGCAACAACAGAGATCAAATCACCGACCATAAACCAGGAGAGTCAAATTAACCTCAACCGTCGATCGGCCCAAATGCCGACATCCCTAAGTCTAGAAATGAAACTGAGGAAGAAAGACCATCCACGATGATTCCGCCAAGTCTACATCGTCGCTGTCCGATTGACCCAACCGCAGTACTAGTGACCATGTGTGTAAATATTATTGTAAATATAAATTAGTGTAGTTATAGAATATGAATTCAAGAAGACACCTGAAGATGAAACACAAGGTGGAGAAATTCATGGGGTGATAAAAATCTCTTACCTAGAAGAACTCGGGCAACTACAACAAACGTAAATCTAATACGTATAATTCAAGTTCTTGAATCTGGGATGGCAAAAGATATTTAAAATATGTCGTTTACCTTGTAAAATGTATTTCCTATATCAAACCTTAAGTTTAGTGAGTGCTTAGGTTTGCTGCTACAGGACAGTAAAGTGTGTTTTTAGAGAAACACTAAAAGTCGAGTATGAAATAAATCAATTTGCCATAAAAGAAAATTACTTAAGATTATTTATTATTTTTAAAATAACATGGAAATTTCAGATTTACCGTTTTTCTCTAGAACCATATAAAGTACACTTTAATCTACTAAATCATCATTTGAGTTTCTAAGCTTTACAAAAATGTTTGAAAAACAATTCAAACATTTTATGTTCTAGGAATGAAAAAGAAAAACCAATTTTTACCGCGGCTCCCTAGAACTCCGTCCTCATAGCCTAAGCATGCTGATTCGCAAACTCATTTGAATAAACGTAAGGTTTACTAAATGTTTATTTATATCAAATATGATCAAAATCGGGTTACAGTTACTCAAGTTATCGGTTATCATCCTAATGGAATGAATGCATTTCAACGTATGGTGTTTTTGTTCTCTGGGAACATCAAAACGAATAAGTCAACCTGTCCCAGGTCCGGATATTACGGTAATAGCTTATCCCCTATATTGGAAAACGGAAATTTGGCAACAGTCGGAAAAGATATACTTAATGGGTGAGTTCGAGCGCATCAGTTTATATTTTGAAAGCTATCTGTTCCCTCTGTGAAGAACACACACACCGCAGGAGCTTTCACCGGACTCATGTGCATGGCTAGTCTACTAAGTCCCTTTTGTATCAACTTGATTATCTTAAAAACAGTCATACATAAATACACTATAACACAAAAAACTAGAGTACTGTATTATACATTGTATATGTGCTACATGAGACCGTACAAATGATTATTTTACATAAAAGACATGGGTAACCCAAAACTACTCGTGTAACAACTTACACAAAATAAAAATAAAAATAATAAAAAAACATAATGGAGTGCTCCCGTTCAGTAGCCAGGGTTAGAGAGCCGGCTATTCTCTAAACAATCTATTCATCTAGGCTTACGCCAGTTATTTCCCTAAACATTTTACTTATTGTTTATATTTTACCTCTCAGAGCTCTAACTGGGAATAGAGGAGACTACGATCCAGTCTTGTTATTTCAGGTAAGTTAGGAAAGGGTATTGGGAGTTAGTGAGGCACAGCGCTGTATTAACCTTTTCGTAGCTCCTCCATTCCAGCCATACATCTGGGAATTTTTCCGATTCTATTTAACTAAGTCTAGCACCAAAATATTGTTACAAACAAAAAAACGGAACACTCTGTGCAAACGATGTTAGAGTATAGCATATTTTTTATACAATTACATAAATGGACAACACAGTACCAAACATTAATTCAATAAAAACAATAATCACATCAGAATAGTCCGTTTACAAAATGCAGGCGGTTTAAGGGGAAGTTTTTCTGGGTTTCCCTACCACTTTTCTCTAAATGTATGTTACAGCTGATTAAGCGGTTGAGCTTATTGACATCTGTCCAGCTATTTGTTTCTGTTGTAATAATAATAACAATAATCATCCTGCTTCACGATCTAGTCATCCTAATGAAGAAATTGGAACAAAGTTTGAAAGACTAGTGAAACCTGTAAAAAGATATGAGTGAAACAAGCAAACAAGCCTACTGAGGCGTTTGAAGCTTTCTATGAAATGTATTTTGTTTATAATCTTTTGTTGCATGAATAAATAAAATACACTTTTTTACTTTTAATGTTCATTCATTGTAATTTTATCTCAGTTAAAAATATACTTTTTCATCAAGTCAAGTCTAATGAATTGTTAATAGGTAATTAAATTTAAAGAACCCCCATAACCACCAAAATTTTGTAAACGGAGTTTAATACAAAAAAAGATTAGAAATATACAGAGCATGTGCCAATTCTTCGCTTTCCAAAGTCGTTCAGAGTGGCGAGTCGGTCTGCACAGCTTGTACTGTTCCTGTGACGGCGACACAGAGCAGGTCCATGTCGGCATCTAGTACTCTCCCTCCATCTTAACAGAAGAAAGACAACATCATCACTAGTATCAGGGACATACTACCTGATACTTTGAATACTGATAAGTCGCTCATAATACATACTATATAATACATACTACTCTGATATTAGGACCTGGGACCTAATTAATTATAGTCTCTTTCAATGAATATTCTTTTCATTTTTATGGTAGCCTATAGCCTCTGGATAAAAGAATATTACAATAAAAGGTTTAAATTACCTGTATCCGTCAAGTGATCCTGGTTTGTAGTTAATTGACTACAGCCGTTTTGTGTTGTAAAAACACATCTTCAGGTCAAATGTACATTGATTTATTCCATGGAATGGTCGTCGTAAGGTTTAAAGTTCACAAAAATAACATACACATACACAAAACATTAAACATAAATTGGCCAAAACAAAAAATACGAAAAACACGTAATAGACATCGGACACGTACGGTGCCGGTAGAAGGTAGGTCATAGGCGTTTTCGTACGTTTTGTATTGGCCAATTTATGTTTAGTGTTTTGTGTACGTGTATGTGTTATTTCTGTGAACTTTAAACCTTATGACGACCATGGAATAAATCAATGTACGTTTGAACTGAAGATATGTTTTTACAACACGAAACGGCTGTAGTTAATTAACTACAAACGTGACGGATACAGGTAATTTAAACCTTTTACCTTTTTGAATTTTTTTTATATTCTTTTACATTCATGCCCCCTTTAACTCCAGGCCACAGCCATTGAAGTGGCACCACAAATAGGGTTCTAATCTAACAGCTGTTTTGTTTCAAAGCAGCTGGTATTTGTGTATTTTTTTAAAACACAAAAGCTTGGTAACTGGGGCCACTAAAATATTGACTCCACTCTAAATGCACTGTTAGAAATATATTTTCAATTCTACTTGTAACAAGAAGATTGTTCTTGAACCTCATACTGGAAAGAAATCAGCTCAATATGATAAGAACTAAAAAAAGCTTAAGACACCTTTTAAAGTGTCTATGTATTTGACAACTATTTATTTCTTTGTTTCAAATAGTAAATCAAGTGTATGATAGTTACCTCAAGGGACAAAAGTGTTCGAGTAGCCTGACGTGGGGCAGGATCCAGCTGCGTTAAATCTCATGCTACGTTTTTGATTGGCAGACACCAGCACACCACTGTGATATTCCTGCAACAAGGAACATCAAGGGGTTTAAAGGTTTAAAAGGATTAACACAATTACAATTAATTATATACGTTTCTTGTGAAATCAACCAAGTCTAGAATATCTATCATTTGATCTTATTGAATTGTTAGTTTATTTTTCCAATTTATACATCGGTTTATTTACGTACAATTGCATGTTTACTGTTTTTTACTGTATTTTTATCGGGTAAATGACCAGTTGCTCGGTAGCTGTGGACGAGTGAGTGTGTGTTGTGCAATATATTAAGAGTGGTCCTGTATCAAAAATAGTAAAACAATGAATCTGTTACCTGTGGTTGCAATGTGGTGCAGAATTAGGCAGCGTAGGATTGAGAGGAAGTACTTGATTCAACCCAATTAATCAAGTTATTAATTGATTAAAAAACCTAATAATAATAAATAATAACTAATAAATGTTTTTTTTTCTTTACCCTCCAATTGTTCAAAAACCTCTCTCAGAGCAGAGCAAACTAGTTTCCACGCTTCTTTCATTTAATTTCTGTCCTTATAATAGTTTAAAGTTTTATCCCACAGTACTGGGTTTGCTTCCACTAATTCAATCAAAACATCATTGTCAATTATCACTTCAGTTGCTATTTTCGATCTACACGATAATTCATATTTGAAGCCATTGTCACTCACAACTGTCACTATTCACTTCAAAAAACAAACGCAGTATGCAAAGTGCACAGAGAGAAGGTGCAACGAGAACTAGGACTAATAGGGAGAACGCACGACATCTGACAAAACAATTGTGGTGTGGGTGAGCACCCATTTAATCATGTACGCCCTTGCAAGCACGACAGTCGGGTGAGAGTCGCGGATCACAGTTTCAGTGGACAAATGCACCACAAAAGAATGATGTGGTTGTTAGATAGGATAGGATTGGTTTACTAACCGGAATGTGCAGGGCCGATATTAGGTGCAAGGCAATTGGCTTTTTTGGGGGGCGAAAAAAAATTTTAAATGAAAAAAATAATGATTGTAGTGAATTCTGACTATTTTCCTTGGCTATGTAGACATTATTATCGTCTTCCATTATCCGATTATCAACGTCTCTCTCAATTGCGGCAAAACAGATTAAATCAGTGAAATTAATTTATAAAAAAAAAAAAAATAGATGGGCCCCCTCCTAGGCCTAGGCCCCCGCAACTGCTGTGTCCGCTGTTAGGGAAATACAGCCCTGAGTATTTATGTAGTTTGGAATTTTGCTTTACCACAGACAAGATATTCTTCTTGAACCTCATTTGGGAAACAGATCAGCTCAATATAGCAAGAACCTTAAAAAAAATTAAGAGACCTTTTAAAGTGTCTATGTATTCAACAACTATTAATTTCTTTGTTTTAAATAGTAAATCATTTGTAAGATAATTACCTTAATAAGGGACGAAACTGTTCAAGGAGCCTGACGTGGCCGACGTGGGGCAGAATTTACAGCTGAGTTAAATTCCATGCTACGCTTTTGGTACGATTGGCAGACAGCAGCACACCACGGTGATATTCCTGCAACAAGGCACATCAAGGGGTTAAAAGGATTAAAGGATTAACACAATTATGATTAAATATATACGTTTCTTGTAAAATCAACAAAGTCTAGAATCTAATTTATCATATCTTCGATATATATAGAATTTACTGATTATTCTGGACAAACGCCAGTACTTAGGTAATTTAAATCTATCATGAGATCTATTTTATTTGTTAGTTTATTTTTCCAAATTATACATCGGTTTATTAACATACTATTGCATGTTTACTGTTTAGTAACGCTGATCTGTAAATCCATTGTGTATCTTCATAGACTAAAATAATTAAATACTAGGTGGCGTTCGCAGAAGCATCCACAAAATTGAGCGGAGTCGTCAAGGGTTTATATTATATTGTTTTGGTCATACTGCAGTAATACCAGTCGTTTTTAATGCATGCGTTGAGGGTCTAAAGTAGCAATTTTAGTCTTTAGGAAGTAAAAAAGTTTTTATCCTCTATGGAGTAAAAATAGTTTTTATCCTCTATGGAGTAAAAATCAGCTGTTGGCAACTCAGTTGTAAATTTCTATTATAAACGAATGCATGTATCGAAATATGTATCGATTCGTGCTTCGAAATTATTTTAACCTACAGTTTACAGTCTCTTCCCATAGCGTTTTAGCTTTGCAGATACATTAATCCATTCCCACACTCAACACGCTCACCTTTACTACTTCCTTCACCACCCCCTACGTCGTGGACCTATTTCCCTCTCTTCCCATAACATTTTAGGATTGCAGATATATTAATGTAATTGCCAAAGACAGTTCCCACACTCTGCGCTGCCAGCCTTACTACTTCCTTCACCATTTCTACGTCATAGACTTGTTTCCTTCCCTTCTCATAGCATTTTTGGATTAAAGATACATCAATCTAACTGCCACAGACGGTTTTCACACTATGCTCATACTTAACTACTTTCTAAGCCTTTTTCTACATCGTGGACCTGTTTTCATCACTTTCCATAGCAATTTAGTATTTTAGATACATTAATCTAATTGCCACAAACATTCCCCACACTCTGCACTGCTAGCCTTTAACACTTCTTTCACCATTTTCTATGTCGTGGGGATGCTTCCATCCCTTCTCATAGCATTTCAGCATTGCAGATACATTAATTTAACTGCTACAAACGGTTTCCAGTTCCCACACTCCACTTTGCTCACCTTAAAAATTCCTTCACCACTTCATACGTCTCGGACCTTTTCTCTTCCTTCCCATAGCATTTTATTATTGCAGACACCTTAATCTAATTGTCATAAACAGTTCCTGTACTCCGGACAATTTGCCTTTACTACTTCCTTCATCACTTCCTACGTCGCGGACCCGTTATCCTCCGTTCCCATAGCATTTTAGGATTGTGGATATCTTCATCTAATCGTCATAAACAGCTCCCACACTCCGGACTGCTCGCCTTCACTACTTCCTTCACCACTTCCTACATCGTGGACCTGTTTTCCTCCCTTCCCACAGCATTTTATGATTGCAGATACCTTAATCTAATCGTCATAAACTGTTCCCACACTCCGGACTGCTCACCTTTACTACTTCCTTCGCCACTTCCTACGCCACGGACCTTTTCCTAACCCTTTCCATAGCATTTTAAGATTGCAGATACCTTAATCTTATCGTCATAAACAATTCCCACACTCTGGACAGCCCGCCTTGACTACTTCCTTCACCACTTCCTACGTGACAGACATGTTTCCCTCCCTTCCCAGAGCATCATAGGATTGCAAATACCTTAATATAATGGTCATAAGCAGTTCCCACACTCCGGTCAGCTTGCCTTGACTACTTCCTTCATCACTTCCTACGTCGCAAACCCGTTATCCTCCGTTCCCATAGCATTTTAGGATTGCGGATATCTTCATCTAATCGTCATAAACAGCTCCCACACTCCGGACTGCTCGCCTTTACTACTTCCTTCACCACTTCCTACATCGTGGACCTGTTTTCCTCCCTTCCCACAGCATTTTATGATTGCAGATACCTTAATCTAATCGTCATAAACAGTTCCCACACTCCGGACTGCTCACCTTTACTACTTCCTTCGCCACTTCCTACGCCACGGACCTTTTCCTAACCCTTTCCATAGCATTTTAAGATTGCAGATACCTTAATCTTATCGTCATAAACAGTTCCCACACTCTGGACAGCCCGCCTTGACTACTTCCTTCACCCCTTCCTACGTGACAGACATGTTTCCCTCCCTTCCCAGAGCATCATAGGATTGCAAATACCTTAATCTTATCGTCATAAACAGTTCCCACACTCCGGACTGCTCGCCTTTAATGATTCCATCGCCACTTCCTACGCAACGGACCTGTTTCCCTCCCTTCCCGTAGCATTTTATGATTACATATACCTTAATCTAATCGTCATAAACAGTTCCCACACTCCGGACAGCTTCAGGGCCGCGTTAAGGGTCAGTGGAGCCCTGGGCAAACCCAAAGCAGTACCCCCCTTTTTTCCTAGTGCGGGCAGGCGATGGTTGAGGGGCACCCTGTGAGCGCCCCCAAACCTCCGGCGCCCCTGGGCATATGCCCAGTCTGCCCGTTTATAAAAGTGGGCCTGGACAGCTTGTCTTGACTAATTCATTCATCACTTCCTACGTCGCGGACCCGCTATCCTCCCTTCCCATAGCATTTTATGATTGCAGATATCTTAGTAGTAGTCATTTTGGGGGTTCTAGGACAGAGGAGGGAGGAGTGTAGACCACGTGGGTTGAGGTAGGTAACCTCACTTTGCCTAACCTAACCTAACCTTACAGGCAGAGACTGATCCTCTGATTTGGACGACTTTACAGAAACGACAACAACTTTTGAATCTCATTTTATATAGGACCACCAATAGGTTCTCAACTGCACAAAAATGGCGCCGATTGCATCATTCGGTGTTCATGTTTTCACTAGAGGATTTGTATGAAGATGCAGTATTTCGATCTCAATGTATACTGACACGCCATTTGAAACTCACGTTCTAGGACAGAGGAGGGAGGAGTGTAGACCACGTGGGTTGAGGTAGGTCGGGAAGGGAGGTGTGTCCATGACGTCACATGTAAACAGAGGATGATCTTACAGACAGAGACTGATCCTCTGATTTGGATGACAATTTTTTTTTGTGTAGATATAAAGAACGTTAAATCAGTTCTCATTTGGTATACTTGTCGTATAATAGGATCTCACGGCTGAGATCGAAAACGACAATAGCTTTTGAATCTCATTTTATATAGGACCACCAATAGGTTCTCAACTGCACAAAAATGACGCCGATTGCAACGTTAAATCAGTTCTCATTTGGTATACTTGTCGTATAATAGGATCTCACGGTTGAGATCGAAAACGACAACAGCTTTTGAATCTCATTTTATATAGGACCACCAATAGGTTCTCAACTGCACAAAAATGGCGCCGATTGCATCATTCGGTGCTCATGTTTTCACTAGAGGATTTGTATGAAGATGCAGTATTTCGATCTCAATGTATACTGACACGCCATTTGAAACTCATTGTTTTCATGTTGATTTTTACGTGTCTTCTGAGTTGAGTCGTTCCGTGTTTAGTGACGTCACTTGTCTTGGGATCATGTGATCATGGAATGTTCTAGAAACATTACCATAAAAGGAAATGCCACGTGATAGGTCACGTGATCATCTTGGAACGTTCGAGAACATTACCATATATGGTCATGTGTTTCGACGATTGTGCAACAGCCCGCGCGGTCTTGCGTCAGTCTTCTCTGAGAGGTGGTTGTGAGAGGTGCTATTTTTCGAGTCTTTGAAATTGTGTAGTGTGTGAAAAGTAAGTTTTCAACCATTTATAAGTGTGACGAGGATTTGCGGTGATGGCTAGTGTCAGTGCTACGAAGCGATCGTTTCCTAGTGACAACGAGAGTGATGACGACAGCCTTCCTACACCACCGAAGCGTCGTTGGTTCCAACGTTATAAAGACGATATTGAGGAACAACAAGGTGCTAGGGAAGAACACCGTTTGGATGTTGCCTCGGTCTCTGACGGAGAACATCATGTGTCACCGGTTGTTCAAAGTGCTACCAAGCGGTCGTTTCCTACTGACAACGACAGCGATAACGAGACCCGTCCTACATCACCGAAGCGTCGTCGAGCCCAACATAGTGAGTTGGATATTTCGGAACAACTACAAGGTGCTAGTGAGATGATGGACATTCAAGAGCAGGAAGAAGATGTTTCGGATGTCGTGCAGGTTCTACCTGTCAGGAGAGTCGATACAAAAACATTAAAATTCTGTGATGTATGTCACCTCAGTATTACTAGGAAAAACTGGGCCCGTCATACTGGGAGTAGAGCTCATCAAGCGGCGTGGATACAAAAACAGCAACTAAACCAACCATCCGTCATAGTTCAACCATCCATCATAGTTCAGCCATCCATCATAGTGCAAGTCCCACGTAAGCCTCCGCCACCACCTAATCTTGAAATCATCCAATCTAAAACGGCGTTCAGAGGTCGAATGAAGACGTTTGAGATCAATAATGTCAAAGTAAATTGTTACAAAAGTGTTGAAACTTTTATCGAAGATTCCAAAAAACTTATAATTGAAAAGGTTCGTGATGAGGGAACTTCATTGAAAATCCAACTTATCCTTAAGGCAAAGTTCGCTAAAGGGATTACGGAAAAAGTCGAATCTGATTTTGAATTCAAAACGAAAAACATCATCATTTACGAAGATTCTAATCTATCAGATTTGTTAAATGAGGCAAAACAAAAACTATTGACTGAGATGGAAAGTTTTAATCACAAAGGCTCCAATTGGAACATGAAAACGATTGAATGTCTTTTTTTACATATCAACCGACTTAAGCCTTTGAAAGGGTCTAGTTACATAGCCCTGCCAGAAAAAATTCGCTTGAAACGTGCTGTTGTAAACATAAAAAACAATGATCAGCGTTGTTTCATGTGGTGTTGTCTAGCAGCACTCCACCCTTCAAACGTACAC